ATGCTCATCTTTCCTTATTTTTATAATCCGGCGTACAAGGCGCACTTCTAAGTTTCGATTTTTTTTTTTAAAGTATTTAAAGTGCGCTTTATAAGCCGGAATATACGGTAACTACAAAAAAATGGGATGCCCCTAAAAGGTATCAATACAAATTAAATTACCGTATTTATGCGAATCTAATGCGCCATCGAATCTAATGCGCATCCCCATTTTAAAACTTTAAATAATAAAAAAATTGTTTGTCGGCGAATGTAATGCGCATCAATGGTATGAGAAATTTATTGAATCTTATTTTATACAATAGATTTGTATATAAACTATCAATCAATGGTATGATAATTTTATTTAAATCTAGATACCATATTTTATACAACAATAGATTTATACATAAAGTAGCAGAACATAGAATTAACCTATTAGTGGGCTATTGTTATGTGAAACAATCATTGTTAATTACCACTACCGTATATGGTACATATCGTAAAGTATGAACATGAAATAAATCGTAACATTTCTATCTAGCTAACAGTTTCTACAGTCAGTGATTAATAGTAAACGTCTTTATTCACTATTTTGATGATGTCCCCTTCTCCGTAATGGTGTAGTTACGAGGCATATCAAACCAAATTGGCGTCTCGTCAGCAATGTCAATTTGCCCCATTGAAAAATTCTTTTCCTTCTGAAGTGTGATGACATACCGCTAAAATGTTAGTAGTTTTTCCTCAAAATCTGCAGGAAACTTTTGGCATATTGTTGTACGGCGTCTTAGAGCCCATTCGCTTCATAAACCGATCCACCCATCCACGGCTAGCTTTAAACTCTGGTTTCGGTATTCCAAGAACTTCAGCCTCCTCTTTTGCTTTATTTCTTATAGTGTCGTTAGTCACAAGTTGTCCATTCTTCCTCCTTTCACGTACAAATTCCAAAACCTTTTCTTTCAATTTTAGGGTGTCTTCCTTTGCGAGGGCCAGCGAATTTCTTTCTACTAGTTTTAGTCGCAAACAGTGCCAATTTCTGTTGCCGCCACAAGCGAACATTGCTCTCAGCTACGTTTAACTCTCTCCCAGCCTTTCTATTGCCATTTCTTTCAGGATAAAGAATTACTTTATGTTTGAAAGTAGCGTCATATGACATTCTTCTCTGCTTGCCCTCCATTCGTGACTACGTACTCTGCAGTTTGTATCCTCTGTGCAATAATGTGTCAACCATAAATGTAACGGTAAATGTAGTCGAGAAATACAGTAATCCATTGTTACGATTTAAATTCGGTTGACGTCATCGGCGAACTTTGCACTCGAATCCAATGCGCACCCCAATTTTGAGTACTACATTTGGCCAAAAACGATGCGCATTATATTCGCGTAAATACGGTAGTATGTTTTTTCGGCGCGGGTTTGGATATACAGAGAACTCATTAAGCGGGCTGAGGATTAATTGCTTCCTGTTTAAAAGAAGTTAAAATTGCTTTCTGAGGAACAATTGGAATATTACCATTACAAACCACCACCATAAAATAAAATATTACTAACTGAAAATGCGAAAGGGAAACAAATAATGTCACATGCATTGAAATTGAATTTATATTTTAGAATATAAATTCAATGTCAGAAAAGAAAAGAATTTATATTTTGGAGACATTTTAAATGTAGACAAACTACTGTACGTAGTACGGCGACTGCAAGGCAAAATTCTAGCTCTGAAAATTGGTAGAGTAAGGGTATCTTACTCAGCGTACGCGATAAGCAAAGTTCGTCTACATTGACTAACTCAATGTGCGATTGCCGTTGCTTTGGGAATGATATCTACGGTTGACCCCAAATCACAGTTAACCAAAGAGCAATAAAAAAAGGAAAGAGGAATTGCCCATATTGTAACTAACAGAAAAATGCTATTAACATTTTATCTGCTTCAAGAAGTTAAATCTTGGGAATAAATCCATTTGGTTACGTACTGAATTAAAATCAGCATTCAAAACAAAAACCCGTTTAAAAACAACAAGTTGTTACTGTTTTTGTTTGTACCACTCTTGAATTTCGACACGTGTCAATAGAAAACAAAAGGCTGATAGTTCTATATTTATTTTATCTTCATGATTTAATAATTTATTGTTAACAATGTTTTTGTTTATACCACTCTTGAATTTTGATACGTGTCAATGGAAAACAAAAGGCTGATAGTTCCATATTTATTTTATCTTCATGATTTAATAATTTATTCTTCCCAGATGACTTAGCAGTGTTGTTTTTTTGCATGAAAACAATTCCTAAATGCTGTTATGTCATATGTTATCACTGCTGTGATATTATGCATTTTGTTTCCCTTTTCGTATTTTACATAGAAATTTTGCTTTTTTTTGATGGCTTGTAGTAGTTATAGTTCCACCGTTCTGTAATAAACAAACTTAACTTTTTAACATATGATTAAGTTTCTCCATAACAGTCTGATAGAAAAGTAAAAATTAAGACGCTATTTAAGGTGCGTGAATGCGTCTATCTTCGAAACTAGAAACGTTACAATCAATCTAAATACATCATTGGATAGATGAAAAGCACATTAGCAAACATACAAAACACACAAACTATTAAATTGGACACACGGGGTATACGCATAGTAGCGAATCAAAAATTGAGAAATTCTAGTGAACTCAAACCTCCGTGCGCATGCGCAACTGCGAATGAGTGGCAAGATCGTCTGGTAGACAGTCAGTGTGTTCGGGTGGTGTCCGCTATATTTTATTTTATTTTGCCCAGCTGTCGGCGTTGCTATTTATAGATATTTGACGAATGTAGCAAATTGCGTACCAACAGAATTTACTGTTTAAGCAGCGTAAGAGAATACAGGATTCAGAAGCAAGTGATATTTGTAAGGTTGATGTAATTGTTAAAGGACAGTCAAGATTTGTTCTAGTATCCATGTGTATTAATCCAAATGTTAATTCATAGGATTTGAAGACGTTGTTGTTTAGTGCATTGATGAAATATTCTGAGACTACTTTTTACTGATACGGATACGCAGTCGCATGGACCTCCGACCTAAGGTTCTACACCAATCAGAGTTATATGTCCATGCGACGGAAAAGAATCTACAATCCACCGCCAGCGGCATTCACTGAATCAATAATAGTAATATTACAATGCTAAATTGACAGTATCATCTATACAATAATTGTTACATAATAATCCGTATGAAAATAAATATACGATCAATTAATAATTACATTGTCATGGAAAGGATCTATGTTGTGGAGAGTGGAACTTATATATTAACCGTTTTTAGACCTATGTCTTCTTCAATACATCATAACTCATGTTCTTATACCCACCTAATGATGTGTGTCCGTATTATTTTTGCAGTTATCCACAGAGTAAGCCAGTCACATCAGTTCAAGCAATTGATAGTTCCATAGCCCAAAGTATATGATGTTGTGTAGACTATTCTATGTTCACTTTTGTTAAATTCATCGTTCAAGTAAATACTCCACTTTGATACATCATAACTTCGTGTCCTTAACAGTTAGCATACCTCGTTATGTGCGTCCATAGCAATTTGCACACTGTGTCGCAAGTATCCACAAGACAAACATGAAATTTCAATTGGGAATTTCATTGTAATATGTACACTATTTTACTATTATCCACAGAAGCAAATGTTTTGTAAATAACGACTTGGCTCCCAGATGATAAAAAAAAAGGAAACTAATTCTTAAATTTTCAAAACAATTCTAAATTGTGCAAAACTACAGATTTGTTAAACAGTTCCAATCAATGCAAATTGACCGGTATTCCAACAATATAAAGCACATATTCTAAAATAAAACGTCTAATGGAAAACAGGAACTAATTCCCAATTAAAATAGACATAAAATACATAATTATTCAGCACATATTATATACCAATCATCATACCATAAAATACACATGTTTCAAATGCTGCAACTATTTTTTTATTACAGTTAGAATATTTACCAATCAAACATACTACAAATGTACATGTTTAAAAAAAAAACTGCAACTAATTTTTCATGGCAGTAAAAATAATAAATTTCTATTATACAATTATAAATAGCACAAATAAACAATTTCAATCTATACAAATTGGCAGGTATTCATACAACATAAACACATATTCAAATATAGCTAATCATTCTTGTAAAATGGCTATAATAGTGCCCAAATTTCTTCAAATAATTAAAAACATCTACAGAAAAACAGGAACCAATTCCCAATTGTAACAACATGAAATATCCAAAATTATTCAGTACATATATATTCTAATCAATTATACCATATAATTCACATGTTTTCAAAATGCTGCAACTAATTTTTCATTGCAGTTAGTATAGTTATCAAATCCATCATACTATATAAATGCCACATGTTTCAAAACTGCAACCAATTTTTCATTACAGTTAGTATATTCCAATTGCCAGCTAATAAAATAAAATCCGCTCTAAGTTGAATTGGCTGTAATAGTTCACAATGCTTAAAATAGTTAATCTACTGGAAAACAGAAACTTATACCCAATTGTGATGGACACGATATACATACAAAATAATTAGATACAGCTCTAAATTCCTGTTCTTACTGAAAATGCAGATATTCTAAGAACTGTAATGAACTTCTTTTTACACAGTCAGCATTCCAGTTTACCAGCTAACAATAATTGTAATTAACTTACAAAATGCAAAAATAATACAATAATAACAAAATGGCAAAAGAATAATAAAAGGAACAAATAATAACTATAAAAATAACAAAAAAATTCAGAATTAAGGCTATAATATTAACATACAAACAGACAATTCCCAAATGCAGAACTTATTCCCATGTGGAAGTGCAAAGCACATCCAGTACTTAATAGTGCTAAATATTCTATGCATTGAAGTTAAACACACAATTATCATTTAACATTCAGATGGAAAAAAAAAAATTAAAAGGGCTACCGATAGTGCAAATATTATGCGAAGGTTGTTGGAAACGTATACATCTCATTGCAAATATTAAAAATTTGAGTTAATCTGTGCTGAAGAATTTGTCGTTTTTAATAGTGATTTAGTCCATTCACTCCAATATAAGTCTGATGGTCTTTGCAGATGAAATTCAGCGGTGAGTGGCCAAGAAAAAGCAAAATGGTCTGGAGACCCAATACTTCCACAGTGACATTTGTCATCTTTCTTAAGATGAAATCGGAATAAAAACGATGGAAAGGGACCGTGTCCCATGAGAAAAGTTGGCTGCGCTGCAGATGAAACCAAAAATGTTTCCGAAACCTTTGGCAAAAATTTAAAAGTTCTTCTGCCCGTTGTGGAGGTTCCCACTTTTTTTGCCATTGCTGGAGTTAAGTTCTCTTTTGTATATCTCTTAATATAAGAAAATGGTAAAGGCAATGAATATTGAGGAAGATTATTCCCTCTTACCGCTTCTTTTGCCAACTGGTCTGCCAACTCATTGCCATAAATCCCCCTATGAGCGGGAACCCAGCTCAATAAGGGTCTAGAAGAGGCAGGAAGGTTAAGAAGAAGGATTTTTATCTCTGCTACTATTGTATTTCTTGAATTTTCCCCCTTTATGGCCTCCAGACTAGAAAATGAATCACTGTAAATTTCCACTTGTGATGGAAATTGACTTGAAAGATGTACTGCTTTTTTTAATGAAAGTAGTTCAGCTTGAAAGATAGAGTTCGCTGGCCTCAGTCTGCGACACCATGAATGCATTGGTTTGCCATTTTGAATTACACATAGTCCACATCCTGTTCCTTGTTCCGAATGAGATCCATCTGTGTAAATCTGGAATTGACTTTTTGACTCATTGAGAAGATTGCACATGAAATGTCATTTTGTGCTGGATGACACAGAAGTTCTGTGCTCCTAGTTTCATAACTAAAAGGATCGTATGAAATATTCCACAGTTTAGTCTCTAGACGAAGACGCAAAACTCGAGCCAGCACCGCTTCCCTTTCTGCTGTTAAGTCCAACGGAGGAATGCCGGACAAGACCTGCAAAGCATCATTGGAAGTTGTCTGTAACTTCGACTGATCATTAGAAGAAAAGATCTTTGAATAGAAATTAAGAGTCGTTTCTCATGTGTCTTAAGAGAGTAAGCCCATATTGCTGAACAATATAAGATTATTCTTTCTATTACAGTCAAGTACCATATTTTTGAAATCCGCGATGAGATTCCCCAATTCTTACTAGCTGTTCGTTTCATGTGAATTGTCAGTGACATTACTTTTGTTCTGATTGCCATCAAGTGAGTCGTCCAAGAAAGATTGGAGTCAATAATAAGACCTAGGTATCTCAAGCTTCCTACAAATTTAATAGATTTGCCTGCAATTTTAAAGGTGGTTTGCGTTTGAGGGGTTTAGATGCCCCTATCAACATTGCTTGAGTTTTACTGGTGGAAATAACCACTTTGTGCCTTCGTGCCCAGTTTGCTATAATATCCAGATAAGCTTGAGCCGCAGAAGAAATACCCGATTTACCTTTAACAATTAGCATAAAATCATCTGCAAAAGCTATGAGTTTACAGTCTGACTTTCCATCAAACTGTCGCAAAAGAGAGTCAGCTACTATCGTCCATAAAATGGGACCGAGACAAGATCCCTGAGGACACCCTTTTTGTAATTCTTGATCGTATTGTCCTGAATCTAAAATCACTTGGATATGACGATCTTGCAGATAACTTCGAATGAGGTCAATGATACAATGATATCTACTGGACACCCCATGGTGACCAGAGCGTCTATTATGTCCGGCCACCACAGGGAGTCAAAACCTCCTTGTATATCGATGCTGATCAAAATTGAGTGCAAATGCTCGTTCCTATTCGATTGTAGTGAGGAAATCAGGTCGTAGATTGCATGCTCTGTAGAGCGCCCTTTTTGAAATCCATATTGTGATGGATGTAGTATACTATTTTTCTGTAAATAATACTGCAGACGCCCTAAAATTACCCTCTCCAAGAGCTTACCTAAAGCTGGTATTAAACAAATTGGCCGGTAGGGTTGCGGTCTAAGTGGATCTTTGTGCTGTTTTAAGAAAAGTACGACTTCTGCTCTTTTCGATTCTTTCGGAATGTATCGGAGTCGCCAGCAGGTTTGGACGTATGCGATGATCAAGTCCGGTGCAATATTGAACAACAGTCGAAGAACAACATTATCTAGGCCGTCTGGTCCGGGAGCCTTCTTTAAATTTAGGTGATTAATAATGCGTTCTAATTCCAAAAAATTTGGTAGAGATTCTGGGAAAGAGAAAGATGAAGCATGGTTATTAAATTTAAAACGTAACTCTCGCTGCGTTGAATCATCTTCTTCTGGTAAATCTTCTTGGAAAAGCGATCTTAATATATGTGCTACCACTTGCTGTGAACTTGTAGCCGAAGGGAAAATTTGCATTGGAAGAGAACAAGGCTGGAAAACTTTATCGAAAGCAATTTGGAAAGCTGAGCCGTACTTTTGTTGGGTATTGGTACAAAACGTTCTCCAAGACGATAATTTGGTTTCACTAATTTTTTTTTTGTTTTTTTTTTTTTTTTTTTTTTTTTTTGTACAAGGCCTGAGATTTCTTATACTCTTGAAATAATGAAGCGCGATTTATAACTTCATAGGTGGCTTCTGCTCGCTCGTTTTCGCAATTTCCGTAACTTCCTTCGCTCAATTGTAAGTTCTTCAGTTCCACCAGGAAGTTGGCTGTACGCGGACAAAACCTTCTCATTTTGAAAGCATTTTTACAAGCTTGTATGCAAAGTGCAGTCATTTTATTGTAAGTGCTATCCAAATCTGAAGTTGAGCGAATACAATTGAAATCTTGAAAAGAACGGATTAATGATGAAATGTGAGGAGAAAAACAGCTACGAAATTTATCTTTTCTTCCAAAGAACGTTTTAAATCTTAATTTGCCTAGGGATCTTAGAGTTGGAGATAAACTGAAAGTAATAGCTCGGTGATCGCTCAATGTAATGCTATCACTTACTGTCCAATCTTCTATAATCTACTACTTTTTACTGATCGATAACGAGTTTACTGTAAATACAGATGCTCCTATTATTATGATGGGAGATATCAATGTAGACGTCAAACGAAATGAAAAGGCTTCTGATTTTATGAAACATTATTTTTATCTCAATATGGTGCCAAGTAATTATCCAAGTACACTCGGCAGTTCATTTACAGATTTAATTTCTTAATCTTAAACTAGGAATATAGCTGCATACATCTTAAATTGACTGACTGTCAATTTAAGATGTATGCTCAAAATGTAAGATGCTTAAGATTTAAGATGTATGCTTATGTATTATATATATTGTGAAATAAGATAGATGTTTCTGACTGTCTATCTTATTTCTGATATCAATGACCAATTTTACATAGGGTCATTTTGAATGAATAAATGTAATAAATATAAATGTATGTGTAAAATCTTTTGTTGGTTTTATTTTGTTCTATAACATACTCCCACTTTCGGTAGTATAATCCTACGCATTAAACACCAGCGGCTCTTTAAACTAAAAGAGAGAGCCTAAAGTCATTTTTTTTAAGTCGGTTAACTTCTTTTATAGGTCGGTAAAGCGAAATCGCGTAATTCGCCTCCGGTTAATCGGGGATTGATTGAAATTTCAGGTCAAACTGTTTATAAGTAGACGTAGATAATTAACAACCCTTTTCTGTCAATTATAATACGAATTATCCCCTTTCCCTGTGTTTCTTTAACTGCCACCGGATTAACCATGTTCTCGGTTTAACCGTTTAACGTCGTCCCGGATATTAGTCTGGATAATCGGTAGTTGACTGCACTTTTATTTGTTATATCCTATAGTATGTGTTTCTTTTAAATATGCACTTGCTCTCTCCTTTTTAGAATACATTCTATGTTTGAATAGAACGTGTTCTTTGAACACAGAGGTCTAGGTTGTTTTCTTTTCTTCTTATTAAAACAACCGCCACGAAATCTACCAGTTAATAATGGAAAGAACAGATAAACTATATTTAATATGAACATTAATGAGCATGCAACGGAACGCATATGTACAACAGTGTAATTAACGTGTAGTTGATAAACCGAAGCATCATTAAATGTTGACAGAATGGACATTGATGGCTTTTGGACATTGACGGATTTCATTGCAATAAAAACTGACCTTGCCCAAACAACATCCGTCAAAAATCCTGTCTCCAGTTCAAACAATGCAACATGTACTCGTCAAAAGACCAGACATTTCTTTTCCTATTGTGCTAAATATGATGGCGTGACATTCCAGAATACACAAAACTAACAAAACTTCATACATTTCGCTCTAGTGGATATACTTCCATTATATTTTACGTCGCTGAAGTTTAGAAATCGTGGTGTTAAAAGCTCGTGTATCATATCTGCGTGGGAAACGATAGTGCCTTTTTACCACCATAAGGGAAAGTCTTAATAATATCTTCTTCGGGATATAGCTGGGTGTTATTGACAAATCATGAAAGCTTTTACATTTTTGAATTGTTTATTCTTCCACGATTTATGACATCTCATGAATTCTAAGAGTTTCGTGATGTTATTTCTGAAGATAAGTGAAGATATCTAGCTTTTGTGTAAGTATTTTTGGAAATGTATAATCCGCTCAGGCGTGAAAGATTGGACTCATCAAATATCTCAGCTATTTTGAAACAGTTCGAATTTAATTTGGGGTTTGGAAGGATCGAGTACTTAAATTAATCAACATGATTTTATGCTTAAGTATCAAGAAAAGCATATAATTTACTACCTTAAAATATTATTATTTCAAGATCAAATCATACAATTTTTGTTAAACGAGCTTTATATATTGAAAATAATTTTTGCTAGATTTAACACACTTACTCTGAACAGACTGCTAGCCCTTCTGAAGTGGGAAACTTGAAAAACTAACTCCTTCGACGGGAGTCAAACCATCTATACTCCAGCTACTAGCTGAATATCCTAACAACTTAAATTACGAGAGTACGCACTGAGGGATGGAATAATTCATAACATTCTTCCCCACATTAAGGACGACACGGAAGAGTTAGACAAATCCAGACGCTGATCAGTTATCGCTCATTATCGGACATCACTGTAGCGGTTTTAGGCTTGTCAGAGTGAAAAGACGAGAAATCAACCGTGCTCTCGCCGGGATTCGAGCCTCGCTGCTTCCATTCGCTAGATGAAAGTGTGAAGCACTTAAATTGCTATCTCACATACGAAAGTGAAATGCAATACACGTAAAAATGTATTTCTCTAAGAACTAGTTTGAAAGTTGAAAATGTTTAAGAAGCTCTGAAAAAAGTTCTGTTCGATGCTTGTTTTCCGAACAGGTCAACAACCAGAAGGAAAAAAGGATAATGGAACAGAGATACATAATTTAATTCCCGGCCGCAAAGATTACAAAATCTGCGTTCAACCAGAAGTTGAGAAAATTTGTTTTTCTTTCTGATAGCAAAATGGGATAAAATTGGAGTTGAGTTACAAAAAAGTAGCCTCGCTAATTTTTTCACCGCAAACGCAAGTTTCTAATTACATAAAAAGGATAATAATATTTTTATAGAATTGCACATACCTTTGGTAATTACTCTGTTATTCGCCTCGCCAGGGGCCAAGCGTTTAAAGACTGCTGGATACTGGTAGTTCGTCTTTGGTGTGACCCCAGGAAAATGGGAAGGCATGTATTTTTCCCCCTTTCTCATGTGTAGCCAGAACAGGAGCCAGCTTTAGAA